ACCTCTGTGTTAGAGCAATAGAAAACTCAAAAACAAAACAAAACAAAACAAAACTCACTTAAGTGTAGGGAGAACCCCCCTCCTTTTAAACTTAAAAGATAGCATTTTAGAGCAATTTTAAATTCTTATACACAGTTTTATTTTTTTTAATTCAACTACTTTAATAAACCTAGTTTGTCAAAATAAATGCCACCTGCAGCATTGTGTATTGCACTCATTGAAATGATTCATTTGTGGACAAATCAGTTGCTGTGCAATGTTTTCCGTAAAGTCTGGCACAGCTGGTTTTTAATTTGTCTGTATAGCAAAGCCATTCCCTTTGGAGTAAGTGTTTTCATTTGGATACTTAGATCTGTCATGTTTGCAAACAGTATTTTCCTCACTCTACGGGTAAGAAAAGTGTAATAAGAGAGTAAGTGTGCACACAAACAGATGCACATTAAGGAACTTCTTTCCCAATTAGCTTGCTTCTTATTCTAGATAAATAGATATCATTAAAAAATAAATGAATGATGTGAGTACCCTCACGCCATACACAAAAATAAACTCAAAATGGCTTAAAGACTTAAATATAAAACAAGACACTATAAACTTCCTAGAAGAAAACACGGGCAAAACATTTTCTGATATAAATCTTAGCAATGCTCTCCTAGGGCAGTCTACCCAGAAAATGGAAATAAATAATTGAGACCTAATTAACTTACAAGCTTTTGGCACAGCAAATGAAACCATAAACAAAAACAAAACAACAACTGATGGAATGGGAGAAAATATTTGCAAACTGACAAAGGTTTATTTTCCAGAATATATAAATAGCCCATAGAATTTAATAACAACAACAAAAAACAACCCAATCCAAAAAATGGGCAGAAGACCTAAACAAGAAATTCTCCAAGGAAGACATACAAATGGCTGGTAGGCACATGAAAAAATGCTCTTATCAGAGAAATGCAAATCAAAACTACAATGAGGTACCGTCTCACACCAGTCAGAATGGCCATCATTCGAAAGTCCACAATGATAAGTGCTGGAGAGGCTGCGGAGAAAAGGGAACCCTCCTACACTGCTGGTGGGAATGCAGTTTGGTGCAGCCACTGTGGAAAACAGTGTGGAGATTCCTCAAAAGACTAAAACTAGACTTACCATGTGATCCAGTAATCCCACTCCAAGGCACATATCTGGAGGGAACTCTAATTTAAAAAGACACCTGCACCCGAATGTTCACAGCAGCACTATTCACAGTAGTCAAGACATGGGAACAACCTAAATGTCCATCAACAGATGACTGGATAAAGAAGTTGCAGTATATTTATACAGCAGGATACTAATCAGCCCATAAAAAAGAATAAAATAATGCCATTTGCAGCAACATGGATGGATCTGGAGATTGTCATCCTAAATGAAGTAAGCCAGAAAGAGAAAGAAAAATACAATATGGTATCACTGATATGTGGAATCTAAAAAAAGAAGAAGAAATCATCTATAAATAGAATCAGACTCAAAGACATAGTTAACAATCTTATGGTTACTGGGGAAAGGGGATGGGAAGGGATAAATTGGGAGTTTGAGATTTGCAAATACTAAAAACTATATATAAAATAGATAAAAGCAAATTTCTTTGTGTAGCACAGGGAACTATATTCAATATCTTGTAGTAACCTATAATGGAAAAGAATATATGTATATATATGTATGACTGAAACATTATGCTGTATACCAGAAATTGATGCATTGTAACTGACACATTGTAACTGACTACACTTCAATTAAGAAAAAATAAACGAATGACCAGAACACTCAATAAAAAGAAGCATGTGCCTGTTTGGCTTAACCCACTTAAATTATGAACACGGTTATCCAAATAAACAGGTTTGGATAAACATAGTACTTTACAAGACGTTTCCACCTGCTTGGTACAAATTGAGTGAGATCACAACAAGGAACATAGCTGTCATTTTGTAAATGAAAGGGTGAAGATCAAACAATATGAAATGACGTGTCCATTATTTTCAGGGTCAAGAATACTGCCTGGTGCCTTTTGTTCCAGGTCAATACCTTTTCTAGTCTGTATAGTAGTCTCCACCTGGGCATGGGCTTGGCTTTGTCTTCACTGACACGAAACCAAGTGTTTGTACTTGCCTCTCAGACTTCCTTAAAATCCATACTGCTTTCAAACAAATATAGGTGACCAAGGAATGAAATGAAGACAATTACATTCAAATATTAAGAGGCCAGGACTGGAACGTCATCATCACACCCGGTGAAGTGTATGTAGGTGAAAGAAGTAGCACAGCTGGGGGAAAGGCTAGGTGAGCCAGTAGATATTTGTTTTCCCTTCACACAGGAGTCCAGATGTGGGAGGGCGTCCATGTCAGTCCGCAGTGTCATTGCTGTGGGTGACTTTGTTGCAGGGACGTGGTTGCTGTCATTCTCAGTGTTCTGGAAGCTGACTCACCACCATACGCGTGTATCTCAGCCTGGGGAAGTGGGAAAGAGAGGATGTGGAACTGTTAGCGCAGGTGATGCTTACATCTCCAAAGATAAACCCTTAGGTCTCGGTGGATTTGCCACTTGAAGTTTGTTTCTTAACTGAAGTCCCAAGCAGGTGTTCTTATCCAATGGGTTGATCTCTTCTAAGAGGATCTTCAAGGACCCAGAACCCTTCCTTGTGAATTCCTTATTTCCAACAGATGAATTCCAGGCTTGTCCTGTTTATCTTCCTCTGGCCTCTAGAGGGTGAAAGATCAAGAAGGAGCAATTTGGGAGCTATCAAGTGAGCGGTGGACGTGGCTGGGATCATTTCCACCACATTCTAGTCTCTAGAAAGCAGCAGCATGGCAACGCCTGACTGAAAGGGGCGGGGGGCGTGGGGATATAACCTCACTGTGTGTGGGAAGAAAGGAAATGCATTCACTGAGCAGCTGCAAAGTTTATGCCAATTGGAGCTTGATTTTATTTTTCAAGTTGTGATTGAGAAGATTCATCATTCTATCTTATTTCTTATTGACCCGACTTAATCACATACCAAGTTGAGCTGCAGGAGCTGGGAGTAGAAATGTCATCTCTATGCTGTAAGCCCGGGTGAAATTTGGGAAAAGGAAGAAGAAAGTAACTGATACCTGGTGAAAATTTAGCAGTTTCTGCCACAACTTCTCACACACGAAGTCCTCAAGTATGTTTAATGAAAGCTGGAGATGAATTAGGGGGCAGCATTAACACACAGCAAAGCTTTATGAAGAAATAAAGTGACAGCGTAAGCAGTTCTGTGTTTCCTTTTCAGCTGAGTGTTAGATAGTCTGTCTCTTGATCAGAACAGTGAATGGAAGGGGTTTATGCAGTCCTACTTTGTGATGAACCAGCTGTTGTTAACTTTGTAAAAGGCTTCTGATTCAGTGCTCTAGAATTGTAAAGGTCGCATTTACTAGAACATAACATAGGTTTACTCAAGTGCTTCGCTTTTATTGGGAACATGGCAGATGTCAGTCTAAATAATTTCTACATAATTGATCAGCAGCTGTCTCTCTGTAATGTGTAAAGAAGCAGAATAGCACTTATTTAAGAATTCATTCTTCATTAGGTGAACAGTATGCTTTCAAAGGAAATTATGTTTCTAGGAAAAAAAAAACACTAATGTTCAACCAGAATTGAACTATTGTTTGTCGGAACACTGCTAAATATTTTCACATCAAGTAGCTAATTTAATGATGTCACTGGTAGTTAGGCTGTTCCTGTAAGGAAGTGTGGAATAAAGGAGAAATTAGAGAAGGTAGGGGAAGATGTAAAACTGAGGAAGAAGGGGAGAATAAAATACGGCGGACGGAGATTGTCGCACTAAGTGAAGTCAGCGAGAAAGAGAAAGCAAATACCATATGACATCATTTATACGTGGAATCTAAAAAAAATGACACAAATGAACTTACTTACAAAATAGAAGCAAAGTCACAGACATAGAAAACAAACTTATATTTGGTTACCATGGGAAAAAGGGGTGGGAAAGGGGATCTTGAGTCTAGGACCCTCATTCTGTTCAAGCTGTGTCCCTAGGGTCTACAACAATAACCAGAACATAGTAGGCATTGCTGAACAACTAAATAAATGAATTCAAAAACAAGACAAATATACAGAAGTGTCACATCACTTCCACTGATGGAAGAGATTACTGCTCTCTACTGGATCAGGATAGGCTTCAAGGAGACACAACTTAAGCTGGCCTCTGAAGGAGACGATTGTGCTAAGTAAGATGGTGGGGAGAAGAGCCAGGGTAAAGCTTAAGGAAACTCATGAGAATTTTGGGGGTCTATCAAATTTCTCAGCATTGACATTCCATGAACTTCTTCTTATTGCTGTAGTATAGACAAACATCATAAAATAAATGGAAGACATAAAATCATATATTCTACTTTTCAGTTTCTTCTCTCATTGACTTTAATGGTTAACTGTATAAATTTCTATGTTCTAGAGAAGGATATATGGTGGGAGGATGTATGCACGTGCATGCACACACGTGCACATGTGTGTGTATGTATAACTCTCCCTACAAAGACATAATATTTTAACAGTCCATGTTTAAGAAAAACATATAAGTCATATTCTTTAAATTATGTTTTTCTCTTACCTTACTTCGAAAAATTACAACTGACTTATTGCCTAAATCTTCTAAAAACTGGCATATTGGCAAAGGCATTTTTCCCCTCCAATTACTATAGTTTATATATTCTTTTTTTCTTACTTCAAAGTTCTTTTAGCATAGAAAGTTTTTTTTTAATTTTCTGGGTTCAGAAGCACCCTATAAGTAGAGTAATCATGTGCTATTTTATTTTCCATGGGTTCTGTTAATTGCAGTATGAAATAACGTAGCCTGAAAAATAATATATGTAAATAGTGTGTGCTTATTAGCTCTAAACTGGTTCACTGTAAAATTAATATGAGATTGGAAAATATTCTAGTATTCTTTTTTTCTGCAGGAGAAGAATTTCAAGACTGTGGAACAATCAGTTATAGCATAGATAAGATGCCTGCTGTTTCTCACTAGGGGGTTCAATAATCTGATTCTTTTCCTGTAATATTGCACAAAATTGCTTGTATTGGGCAACTAGCAGGTATCAAAAGAACACGATTATGAACAAGATGGTGTTCTCTGATCTGCAGACTGCATCTGATTTTTAATTTTGCATTTTATCCATATTGACTGGAAGATATGATTAGTGTCTCTTCGATTAAATAGCTCACCTTATAAATGAAATTGTAATTGTTTGAGCTAGCCTACACATTTTCATACTTTTAAGTATAATTTAAGACCTGAATTGGAGGTGGCTTTTTATACAGAACTTACTGAAAAGACCCAAGAAAGGTGAATTTCATTGCTCTTCTGTATGAAAGGTATTTTAGTCAAACTACAGTGTTCATAATGATCATATTTCAGCTGAAAATACTTTTTAAAAGTCACACCATTTGTGGCCCTCTGAAGATTTCGTCTGCCCTAGACAAGTAGCAAGGTCCAACAGAGGGGCCACTAGGCCAGGCGTCTTTTCTCATCGCTCATTGTGAAGCCTTGGGCAAGAAGAGTGTTTTATAACTCTGATCTTTAAAACATTGTGTCTGACTGTATTTCCACTAGTCCTCAGGCACGCATGATGATTTGGAGAATACCGCTTATGAGGATTTTCTATCATTAAGGGCTCAGATACTTTTCCTACCACACATGGATTTACTAACCGTGCCTTTTTTGGAGGTGAAGAAAAAAATCTCTCTTATGAATGTTACTTTTTTAATTAATTAATTTTTATTGAAGTATAGTCAGCTTACAATGGTGTGTCCATTTCTGGTGTCC